TCTGAATCCTGTAATCCATAAAATCCCAGGAGAAAATAAAATCTTAATCCTGCTAATGTGAACGAGTTTAAATTACCCCCCCCCCCTTTTTTTTTTTAAATCTGTCGAAATACTAAAACCCCATTTAGATGTTGGACGTGAGTGAAGCGTCGGAGATGTCCTGTTCTTACCTCGCAGACATTACCCACGATGCATCTGGGCAGTTCGTTAAAGCAACTTCCTGTGTCGGGGGCGGGGCTAAGGTCCTGTGTGGGTCGGTCGGGGCTCGTCGTGTCCGTTTCTGTGGAAGCTACAGCTTGTATTAAAGGTTCTGAAGTGATTAAAGTCTGACGATGCATAGCTTTTCAGAATAAAAGTGGAAAATGTTCAAAACCAAAATGTAAAAAAAAAAAAAAATTAAACTTGATTAAAACACTGTTCTGTGTTTTTGCATCACTGTCATGTAAAACTTTTTATTTTAATGTTTAAAAAAAATTAATATTCTGGGTTCAGTAAAATGTAGACTGATGTGTCGTATTTAAACGTTTATTTAACAACTGAAAATCAACAAAAGGCATAAAACATACAACTTTACAAACAGTATCTAAAATATTATGAATCAACCTAAAATATATATTTGGCTTCATATATAAAAATCTTTGGAGTGTTTATTTTTTTACATTCAAAGCTGTTTCATAACCTGTTAAATTAACTTTTATTTAAAACACAACTATAAATCACCGTCTGAGAACAGTCGATACGAAAAGTGCAAACAAAGCAAATGTATTTTGGTAAACACATCGTTTTTTTAAAAAAATGTGCTAATCGGAAGAAGATAAACGTCCTGAAACCGTGGCGATTAAAACCTGTTCGTCTCATTTCCCCGTCTTTTTGTTGGATTTGTTCAGGATCTTCATCAGGCTTTTGGACATGAAGTACGGCTTCTGCAGAGACCCGTCGTTTCGCTCCAAGTCCTCCACTGTGAGAGCGATCGAACAGACGTATTTAATCTGTTAACTTCTGAGGTGATATTATCTTACTGCTCACTTAGACTGGATTATGGTGTGTGTTAGTGTGTGTGTGTTTACTCACAGAAGCAGAGGAAGAGCGTGTCCACACACATGTTGTACACGCTGAAGAATCCGTGAGCGATGAAGTAGCTGCCGAACACCACCGCCTGCGACAAACGGAAAATAAATAAAGACAAAATGCTTTTCCTCTGAAAATGCTAGTGTGAATGCTTCTTGCTGAAAACTGTAGCTGAAAGCTAAAATTTGATGCAAGTTAATTTAAAATGCAAAAAAGCTCAAATTAGCATAAAAATGAAAAAAAAAATTTGAAGAAAAATAGCAAAAAGCTAAAAGTGGCAAAATAAGCTAAAGGTAGCAGACAAGTTGAATTAGCTAACAGATGGTTAAAGTGGTGTAAAGAAAAGCAACGTTAGAGGAAAAAAATATAAAATTGCAGTGTTTTAAAATAGCTAAAACAGCTGAAATGTGCTTCTAAATTGTAGCTGAAAAGGCTAAATTTAGCATAAAGGAGAGCATGCGTGCAGAACTTAGCAGAGAAGCTAAAATGGCCCCCAAAATGTAACATGTGACATGCCTATCCTTCAAATACAAAGAAAACATCTTTATACTTAAGAAAATTGGCYTAATACACATGATTTTACCCATTTTGTCTCATAACTGGCCTATTTTCTTTGGAATTAGGCTCAACCAAAGTGAAACAGGAAGTGACATCAAAGCAGAACTGTTTAATAAAATAAACTCTGGTCTTTGTTTATTAAAACAATATTATTTAAACTTGAACTCTTCTTCATCTCTCTGATAGTGACTCAAAATAATCTAAAGAAACATCAGATTCTTCTCTACAGTCTGTGTTGTTATTGTAACAACGTTCTGTTTACATGCAGACGTTCCCCTTTGACATCACTTCCTGTTTCTTCACATGTAAATATCTCAACAACCGTTCATCTCAGCTGCGTGAAATTTTTATTCCAATGTGTCATGCATGTTCTCTTTCCAAAAATGCATTTATGTTTATTACAAAAATTTGACGTCACAGGCACTTTAAAATTTATTTTAGCTAATAACAGCTGAGCAATAGCTAAAACTGCAGCAAACATGAAATAAGCAGAAAAAGCTCAAATTAGCAAAGAGAAGCTGAAAGCACAAAAAGTACAATCTAGCAAAAGAAAAGCAGAAAGAAGTAGAATTTTAGCCAGAAATAGTAGAAAAGGCTAAAATTAGCAGAAAATAAGCTAAATGTAGCACAAGGAAGTTGAAAAGAGCTGAACCAGAACTTGTAAAGTGCAGTAAAGATTTAAAACCATTTTAACGGGCTTTAAGGATGTTAAAAACATAAATAGCTGAAATACCAAAAGTCCTGAAGGAGCTGAATGTTTTGATATATGAATTGTTAAAATAGCTCAAAAACCGCAGCTCAAAAAGTTTCCAGCTGCGAGTAAAGACGTTTTCATCTTACGATGATGGGCATCCAGTAGTAGTTGAGTGTTTCTGAGCGGAACGTGCTGCCTGGTAGAGGAATCCGCCCAGAAAAGAAGAAAAACGACAAAACGCCTGAGAGGAAGAGGAGTAAACATTTAGCCGGGCCAGCTTCACGGCAAAAAATACGTGATTTAAATTCAAAAAAATAAATAAACTATTCGTCCTCACCGACTCCTCCCACCACCAGCAGCTTCCCAAAAAACAGCAGCAGGTCGGTCACTTTATCGAGCACGACGACCCTGAGAGAAACAGAACATCAGATCTGTGATCTGCAGGTAGCAGGTCCAGAGCAACTTCAATACAAACCTGATTATGTTTCTCATCAGGAGCTTGAAAGCGTTTCTAGCTGAGACGCAGAAGTTCTTCCCATAAATGGCGATCTGAAAAAAAWAATACAACACTCAGTTTAAAAAGTGATAGATTTTATGATGTATTAAATGCAGACGTTCTATTATCAGATTCTCACCATGATGTAGGCGTTCCGGTTGATGAACTTGATCACCTTCTCCAAACACCAGAAGCAGCACTTCAAGCAGCACACGATGAACCGCGCGCACGCGTTCTGCGCCGCTGGAGACCAGACGATAGAAAAGATCAGAACAGATGTGACTCGTGTTTACAGCCGGATCCTTGTTTTGTGAAAAACTCCAGATAGTTTATTTGTGGTCGGGGTGGAATTTGTTATTTGGACAGGATGAAGGGTTTGATGAGCTGCGACGGACTTACATCTTGTTTTGTGGTCGATGTATTCCAGCAGGATCCTCACTATTTGGACCAGGGTCAGGATTAAAGCACCGAATGCTAAAGAGCCCACGTGATACCTAACAAAATATAAATAAAATAAAGTACATTACACATCTTGACTTTTATGACATGATGACAGTAAGATTATTCAATTATTATAGAAGTTGATATTTGCTGCCCTCTAGTGGTGACAAAAAAAAACTATAGTTCATTTAAATCCATCTGACAGCTGAAGGTGGTTTTTGAGATTTGAGTTTATTTTATTTTATTATGTTATACAGCATTTTTGTCATCACAGAGACTTTCCTGACGTCCTGACCTGATGGAGCGCATGAAGCTGGCGCACAGAGGAAACATGGGGATGTCGCCCGGTTTGGTGAAGGCCCAGTAGTAGGAGGCGAAGGCCCCCGCCAGCGTGCACTGCCCCAGAGCGATGACGAAGTTGACGCACCAGAGAAAGGCGACGGCGTTGTAGATCTGCAGGTTGAAGAGGTTCTTCTGGAAGAGACCTTCCTCGTTGTAATTGATGAAGATGCAGCTGGCGGACGAGCAGCCTGGATACGCCGATGAGTTGAAGGTCTGAGGGTCGCAGTCCACCGTGCCGTTGATGCTCCGACAGCCGCTCGACGTGGAATTCAGAGCCACCACTTTGTAGACCGGCACCCCTGAAGTGGCCAAATATCTGCGCACGTCAGTTCAGTCAAAACGGACACTGGGAGGCGCGCGACGCTGCGACAGGTTAACTCAAAGGATACAGAGCAGTGGCGCCCCAGTAGGCCACGCAGATCAGCAGGAGGACGAAGGTGATGAGAGGATAGAACAACGTCGACATCATGTGACCGATCGCTCTGCAGGACACAGGGTTATTATAGTTAACTAAAACTAACTAAATAACAAAAACTGAAATAGAAAAATAAAAACTGTAATAAAATGAAAAAAGATAACTAACTAAAAATGTATAATATTTTTTTCAAAACTAACTAAAACGAACTGAAATAATAGGTAGAATATCCTGAGTTTTAGTCAGTTTATTTTGAGCCATGTGGATCCTTTTTTTAAATCGAGTAGTTTCACATTAGCTGTGGTTTGTAACACTTGTTTACAGTCTGCTGCTCGGCATTGTCTGCTAAATGACGTCAAAAGTTGGGAGAAAGCGGCAACGTCCACTTTGGGATTTCTTTGAAAATGACTGCGAGAAAAATCAAAGTACACTCCTGATGAAAATCTTAAGACCAGTCAAAAAAGTGCAAGAATTTGCATTTTGCACTGTTGGATCTTAAGAAGGTTCTAAGTAGAGCTTCACAATGTTAAAAGAAGAAATCAGTGCAAGAGACAAGAACTTTTGAGCAGGGAATTGTCTGAAAACTGCATTTACACTCAAACATGATTTTTTTCAGCTGATCAAAAGTTTAAGACCGTAGTCTTTAAAAGCCAAAAGCTGTGCAAAAATCTGGATTCCATGTCATTTTCTGTCAAGTCTTTACACTGTCAAGACCTCCTGATGGCAAAAGTAAAAAATCTCACTGACTTTGAACGTGGTAGGGTTGTTGAGCTGCATCAGCAAGGCCTCTCACAACGTGCCATCGCTGCTGAAGTTYGACGCAGTAAGACAGTCATTTTGCATTTTTTAAATGATCCTGAGGGTTATGGAACAAAAAGTCAAGTGGTAGACCCAAAAAAATGTCACCAGCTCTGAGCCGCAGGATCCGATTGGCTGTCCGTCAAGACACGGGACGATCCTCTACCCAAATTAAGGCCATTACTGGTGCTGACTGCAGCCCAGTAACCATCAGACGACATCTGTGAGAGAAGGGCTTCAAAACAAAAAACGTCTTCAAAGGCCACGTCTTCTTCAACGCCACAAAATTGCCCGTTTGGACTTTGCAAGGGTGCACCAAACATGGGACATTGAAAGGTGGAAGAAAGTTGTCTTCTCTGATGAGAAAAAAATTTAACCTTGAAGGTCCTGATGGCTTCCAACGTTACTGGCATGACAAGGAGATCCCACCTGAGATGTTTCTACACGGCACAGTGGTGGGGAGCTATCATGATTTGGGGTGCGTTTTCCTTCAATGGAACAATGGAGCTTCAGGTTGTGCAGGGGCGTCAAACAGCAGCTGGCTATGTGGAGATGTTGCAGCGGGCATCCCTCATGACTGACGGCCCTCGTCTGTGTGGTAATGATTGGGTTTTTCAACAGGACAATGCTGCAGTTCACAATGCCCTTTTTTGACTGGACTTAAGATTTTAATCAGGAGTGTAAGTGTTTTGTAGTGGAAACAGGTGATAAAATAGGAGGAACACTTCTTAAGGGAAAAACTGCATGAATCAAACTCATGGCTAACTATGACTATCTTGACACGCTAACTTCTCTCAGTAGCTCCTGTGACAAAAGGTAACTTGTAGCACCAGGTTAGAGACAACTATCGTCATTGTCGTAAAATAATCACCCAAGTTTTTAGTTGGCAAAATTGAGTTACGCAATTATTTTAGGAAGGTGTCGCTATAATGGACTGCTTTAACTAGTGACCAAATAGCTGCTGGTTAGTTAACTCACAGGAACATCACAAGCTTGATGCGTCATTGGCAAATAAACTATAAAATAAACTAATACTAGAACTAATAAAACTAAACTAAAACTAAGCATTAAAAATGRAATAATAARAGTAAAAATGATCAAATCTGCTGTAAAAACTAATTAAAACTGAATTAAAAGAAAAAAAGTCACAACAAAACTAAACTATAATGAAAAATCCAAAACTAATAACCTTGGGACACTCACACACGCCGTGAGGTTCTGCTCGGGTCTGGATCTAAACCACGTTGTTCTGACTCACCTGCTGGACTCCTGAATGAGAGCGATCGCGATGAGGATTCTGGTTCTGAGGAAGATGAGGGTCAGGAGAATGATGGCTTCTGCCACACATATGATGATCACTGAGGGAAATTTACCAACCAGAAAACAAACACTGAGTACATCTACACCAACTTTATATACGATTACTGTTTCACAAATACAGTTTAAAATATGAACAAATAAAATTACTTACAAAAGGCCAGCCAGGTTTCTTGAACTTGTAAATAAGTCTGGAAGTTGGTGGTGAAACCGACGTTACTGATGGTGGCAGATTGTTGTTTGTAGTTACTGTACTCCCAGTAGCAGTGATAGATCCCTGTAAATCAAACTAAATTAATCTAAAAGATTAAGGCAGCTCAATAATAAAGCGAAAGACGAGTCCGGGTGAGTGTTTACCGTAAGCACCGGCTCCCAGGAGTCCTATGATCAGGACCCAGACCATGACAGGGGCGGTGAACCTGAGCAGCAGCAGGAACAGCAGACTGACCAGAGCCGCGATCAGGAGACCACTGAACCCAGAGGAGAGGGACCAACACAGAGATTAATAACAAGAAAAGGTTTGAATCTGACATTAATTTTTTGTTTTTGTTTCTACTCTGACTAAAATCCAGATAAGAACAAGAATAAACACAGCTAATTTCATGAAGTTCACATGCAGCTAAAACCAAATTACCAATTTCTGAATTTGCATTTATTTGTTTTTAACTGCAGCTGTCAGAGTCGACTCACACAAGGATCCACGGCCACGATGACGCAAAATCTTCAAATATCCTGATCCCGACATCCCGGGCATTAAAACCATGTATGATGTCCCTGAAGAAGAGCAAAGGTGTTCAAAACGCTGCTCTCTGTTTAACGTGTTCCAGCAAGATAAACAACTTTATAAACAGAAATGAAGCGAGAACAAAACAAACATGTTTCTGAAGCAAATGCATTTTTGAATGCATTTTTCTACAGCTACTGTAGAAACTACTGCTGCACTAATCAGATGCAAACGCAGAGCACAAACACAAGAGAGCAATGGTTCCCAAACTTTTCACCTTTTGACCCACAAAAGACCAGCAGCAGAGACCTGAGACCCCCTGCTGCTGTTGGTTAATAAACACTGTTTTCACGTCAGATAAACAAGGACAGAGTAACAATATTCATTAAGCTATTTTTGTCTAATGTAAATACACTAACTTTACTCTTTTATAACAACAAATGCATAAAAAGTTTGTTAGTTCTCATTTTTTATTGTAATTAATTCAGAAAATCTTTTCAGGACCCCACTTTGGGAACCACTGTTGATTAAAAAAATAGTAAATAATAAAAAAAAATAAAGTGCAAAACACAGGAAAGCATTGAAGCAAACAACACAGAGCTGCTGCACTACAGCTAATAAAAACTCACAACTTCACTGACCCTGAGCTGGGGAGGGAAAGGGAAAGGGAGTTAAACTCTGGGATTAATTAAGTCTTCAGTGACGATGATGATGGTGAGGAGTGTTTCATACCCTGTGCCGTTTTTGATGAGGCCGATCGTATCGTTGACGGACAATCCTGTAGAGTCCGTAAACGCCGGCGGGAGCTTACTCAGAGCCGTGACATCAGGCAAACATCTGCCCAACACTGAGAGTAACAAATCATCACAGATCAGCTTCTTCAGCTTGTCACGGTTTAAATAACAGCAAATTAGTTCAGTTTTTTAAATACAGATGTTGATTTATAAACAATTTTAGGAAAGAAAAATAAACTGGAAAATATTAATATTCAGAAAAAAGTGCTGAGAGCTGTTGAGAGTTATTAAAGCTAAAACGAGCAATGCTACAAGTAGCAAAATGCTAACTTYCAGTAGCAAAGTTATATCTAAAAATGTAGCAACATGCTAGCTAAAAGTAAAAGAACGCATTTAAAGCAGCGAAACTATTTAAAACTATAAGTAGCTAAAGTCTAGCTAAAAAGTAGAGGTAGAAAATGCTACCTAAATTTGAAAATCTTGTTAAAAATCAAAAGTAGCTAAAGGTTACTTAAAAATCTAAGAAAAAAATGCCAGCAAAAAGTTAAAGGTAGCAATAGCTAAAAAGTAAAAGTTAAGAAATGTTAGCTAAAAGTGGAATAATTTAGCAAAAAATAAATTAAGCTAAAAGGTAAAAGTAGCAAAACGCTAGCAGTAAGTCAAAAATGCTTTAAAAGCAGCTAAATATAGTAAAACTAAGTAGCCAAACTAGGTAAAACCTATAAGTAGCGAAGGTCGAGTTAAAAAGGAAAATGTAAAAAATACTAGCTAAAAGCAGCAACATTTTTGCGAAAAACTAAAAGAAGCTAAACACTTGAACAGCAGCTAAATATAGTAAAAAGCTAAAYGCTAACATTAAACGCAAGCAAAAAGTAGCAAAAGAATAGTTCAAACCAAACAGCAACTAAAGTTTAGATAAAAGTAGCAAAAAGCTAGGTAAAGCTGAAAGAACAGCGAATAATTTTGTTGTAAATACAGGTAAATATTTTGAAAAGAATATAAGTTGCAAAAAAAAGTCAGCATTTAATGTAGTGAATGAGCTGAGCTGATAATTATACGGTCAAAATACCAGAAAATATTCACATCTCAAACAAATAAAAAGAGGAAATAAAGAGAAACCGGGTCAGTGTTTCTGCTGAATTAGCTTTYGGTATTAAAGTTATTTACCCACCTGAGGCTGTGGGTGTGTGGAGGAAAGGACACAGCTCCATGTCCACGATTTGTTTAACCGACTTGAAAAAGATTAATCACATTATTTATAACATGAAATGTAAACCAGCTAACTCCCAACATTAACATTAATATATTTTTATTTGATCAAATTAGATTAAAACAATTTTAGCTCACCAAAGTAGTCCGTGTAAGGTCTAAAGATGGAACACACAGACTCTGATTAAAAACATCCTTTGGTGKTTTGTTGATGTAGTCCAGAGGACTGACAGCCCAGAAACTATTTGGACACGTTTCTACACAGATCTGAGGACAATAAAAAATAAAACTTATCACAGAGTARGGGTCAGACTTAAAAAAATAAAACCCAGCAGCTTCCTCTACCTGCGTGGTTGGACACTGAAGCCCGTTCAGAGCCGACGCCATCACATTTACAGACGTGGCGCATTTCAGGATATCAAAGTAGAACAAGTTGGGTTTGTTTCTGAGAGGAAAAACACATCATTGCGTAATTTAATGTGTGCGAAGTTTTAATAGTAAAAAGTCAAACAGACTGTTTCGTTACTTGTTCACTCCGAMGCCACAGAACCATCCAGTTGAATTCCTTGGATAAAGAACGTGTCGTGGGTCTCCATAAACCCAAGCTGATGAAAACATAAAAACATATGAAGTAGCTAAAGCAGGTCCATTTCATTTCTACAACACTTCAAATATCCAACAATCAAACATTTTATTAATATAGAGAAAACCTTGATAACATTTCCTTTTGATTTTCTTCCAGCGGAGGAAATGATAGATTAATTGGGCCGTGCTACTTGTTGGTACAGATACTGTGGTTGTGTAATCGAGCTGATTTGATGACTCTAGATAAGAGCGGGCCCAGAGTGTTGGAATGAGTTTGATCATGGGGCAATAAAGACCTACAGACCGGACATTAGCAGTGATATAACCAGAAGCTTCAACTACTGATAAAAAGGAAAACAGCTAGAGTACAACAAAAACAAAATGACTACAAAGCTCCATTCTGGCCAAGAAACTCTAAAACCATGAGAAATAATTATTAAACTGAACTAACATGAACTAATCCAAGCGGTAAAGTTTGTGTGCTCTGAAGGATGCTGAGGTTGCAGAACCAGTTGCACCCGATGTTAATTTAATATGCTGCAACGGCAAAGGAGCCATGCAAATTACAACGCTAACTCACCTAATATTCCCACCCCTACGTAGCCGAGGACGACGGCCATGAACAGAACGCAGCAGATTATATCCGTGCATCCTCTGTGGGAGAGAAATATAAAAACACAGGGTCAGTTTGTTTCACAGGTTCTCCAGTGTGTTCTCATCACAACGAGGTTTGTGTGTCTCTATGATCCTAGGAGTGATTCACAGGTRTCACCTTTTCTTTATGGGTCCGTTGAAGGTTGGGTCGAACTGAGCAGGTTCTCCTGCYAGACGAAGAGAGGGATTAAAAATAATCAGCGACGTCACGGTTTATGAGTTTATTGTAGTTTATTGCATCATTATTGTAACTGCACCCAGCCTTCCATTCAACATAAATGAGGCACACTGCAGGTATTATCAGTATTTAAAACATGACACATTTACGCATGCTTTAAGGGAACTGTGCCCACCACTGGAGATGTGTTTGTTTACAAACACATCTCCAGTGGTGGGCACAGTTCCCCTAAAGCACTAATCGGGGAACTAATTTCCTGATTTGGGCTTTAAGGCTTTTGCTAATTTTTAAAATTTAGTGGATTAGCACTTGCTAAATTTATATGCTAAATTTAGAAGCACTAACTGAGGTCTTTAAATGTTATTGATCAATGTTACTGTTCACAACTGAGGGTGAAAGCTGTCACACATTTTGTCCATATGTGTCACTTATCTACTAGGTGACAACAGGATGGATGGATGGATGGATGGATGGATGATAGATAGATAGATAGATAGATAGATAGATAGATAGATAGATAGATAGATAGATAGATAGATAGATAGATAGATAGATAGATAGATAGATAG